GTGTTTCGACAGGGCTTTGATTTTTATATTGCTGTTTTTAAATTGTTTTAAATTGTTTTTGAATTGTGTTAGATTTTAGCCATTCTTGTAAGCCGCTCCGAGCCCCAGGGGAGTGGCGGCATATAAGTTCAAATAATAAATAAATAAATAAAATAATTTCTCAGCACTGAAATTAGGGAAAGGATTTTTAGGTCAGAGACCACTAATTCCCAGCAACTGTCATGTTAAAAGTGATTGGAAAGGGGATTAAGTTTTTTCTTTTGGAAAAAGTGAGTAGGAAGTTGCAGTAAAAATATGTGCATGTGCACTGAAACACAGAAATGTTCCCACCCCCACTAAATGATTTGCTTTTCCCCTCTGCAGCTTGAGTTTATTGAGTGACATGAAAGATCTCAACAAGCGTGAACGTGTGGAGCTTAGGCGCCGGACAGTTCTGCTGCTGTACTACTTACTACGATCACCCTTTTACGAGAGATACTCTGAGTACGTATGCTTAGCTGACTCTTCACAATCCAGCAGGAATAGAATCCCCATTCTGTAATAGGAAACTTGGTTTCTGGATAAGTAAGCTGTCTGGATCCCTTGAAACCAATCATTTGTGAGCATTCATCATTCTGCGTGGGTTTTATCTTCTGCTGTATTTCAAGGAACTCTTTCCTACTTGGGCCATTCCCATGGGTGCCACTGTCATTTTTCTCTGTTCTCCCTTAGGGGCAGAATCCTCTTCCTGCTGCGTCTGTTGGCAGATCATGTCCCTGGAGTTGGCTTACTCACTCGTAAGTACATGGCTTCTCTAATTGCTCTTTGCAAAGGAAGTTAGTAAAGTGCAAAACTGTAAAAAAAAAATCTCTTAGATTTAAGAGACCCCTCTAGATTAAAAAGTTCTCTCTTACCATAGACTTCTGTGTTGACCATTCAAATGAGCACAGGTTCTGAAACTTTTGGTGCTGCCATCTCAAAGTTAGAAACATCTTCTCTGGTATCAAACTTGTGCGCCAGCTGCGACCGTACCTCGCAAAGGCTGATTTGGCCGGGGTGGTCCATGCCTTAGTCACCTCTAGGTTGGATTACTGTAATGCGCTCTACGTGGGGCTGCCCTTGAAAACGGCTCGGAAATTCCAACTGGTTCAACGGGCGGCGGCCAGGATGTTAACTGGCGCTCCTTACAGAGAGAGGTCAACCCTCCTGTTTAAGGAGCTCCATTGGCTGCCGTTTACCTACCGAGCCCAATTCAAGGTGCAGGTGCTTAACTACAAAGCCCTAAACGGTTTGGGACCTGCCTACCTGCGTGACCACATCTCCGTATACGAACCCACATGCTCCCTCCATTTTTCCGGAGAGGCCCTGCTCACGATTCCACCTGCGTTGCAGGCTCGTTTGGTGGGGACGAGGGACAGGGCCTTCTCTATGGTTGTCCCCCGACTTTGGAACACCTTCCCCAAAGACATTAGAATAGCACCCACGTTGGCAGTCTTTAGGAAGAACTTGAAGACATGGCTATTCCGATGTACCTTTCCGGAATAGAATAACCTCCAGCACTACGTCCCAGAAGCACTTTATTAGAGCTTAAGACTCTCTGCACATTGCACTTGCCCAGAATCCCAACATATCACCTCTTACACCCAGCACTTTTTTAACCTGTACCCTTCATTGGCCCGGCTCTGGTTTTATTGCATAATAGTGTAATGTTTTGTTTTTGTTATTGCTTATGTTTTTAATTTGCTTGCATTGTATTGTTATTGTCTGTTGTTGTTGTTTGAGGCCTTGGCCTTTGTAAGCCGCATCGAGTCCTTCGGGAGATGCTAGTGGAGTACAAATAAAGTTTATTTATTTTATATATTTATTTATCAAATTGTTGCATTGAAGTTTAGAAATGTAAAGCATTAATTTCAGACTTTATAAGAAAAAGAAGTGGTGAAATGATAGCCATTCTTAAACATTTCAAAGAATGCAATATTGAAAAGGGAACCTGTTTGTTTTCTGCTGGTTCCAGAAACCAGGTCATGAAACAAGGAATAGACTACAGACTATACAGGAAAAGAGATTACACTTAAACATTATACAGAATTTCCTTACAGTGAAAGCTGTATGACAGTGGAATATGCTGCATTGAAGCGTGGTAGAGTCTCCTTCTCTGGAGTTTTGCAAACAGGCTGTATGGCCATCTATTGGGAGTGCTTTGATTGTATATTCCTGCAAAGCAAGGGGTTGGTCTGAATGGCCATTTGGTCTCTTCCAACTCTTTTGACCTTAAACTTAGTCTTTTAAGGGGGGAGCATGGAGATCGATTGTTAACAATGCCAGGATGCCCCCATCCTTACCATTCCCCCCCCAGGAGATGAGTCTTTAAACCAGTGCCCTATGTGTATGGGTGTATGTATGTAAACTGTGGGTCTCCAGTTGTTGGAGGCCAACTTCTATCAAGCCCATCCATCATTGATAGAGGTGATGGTCCTGGATTGGAGTGTCAACAACATCTAGAGCAGTGGTTCTCAATCTGTGGGTCCCCAGATGTTTTGGCCTACAACTCCCAGAAATCCCAGCCATTTTACCAGCTGTTAGGATTTCTTTGAGTTGAAGGCCAAAACATCTGTGGACCCACAGGTCGAGAACCACTTGTCTACATAGTTCATCTTCAGTGGGTTCAGGGGATTGATTCGTTCTGTGCTGGTCAGATCTTATTTTCAGCCATTTGAAGTCCCCCTCCACACACACTCATAGACAAATTTGCCTGTTTTGGGTCTTGGCTTAGCAATAATTTAGCTGTGATTTTCCTATACAATATACCCCCTTGAATTGTTGTGTGTATGGCTATGTTCTAGCAGCATGTTCTCCTGATGTTTAGCCTGCACCTGTGGCTGGCAACTTCAGGGGGTCCTCTGAAGATGTCAGCCACAGATACAGGTGAATCATCAGTAGAAAATGCTGCTAGAACATGCTCATATAGCCCAGAAACCACATGACACCCCAGTGATTCCTGCCATGAAAGCTTTTGACAATAACCTCTTAAAATTGGGAGGCGTATTTGTGGAAAGAAATTGCAAAAACTTAATGTCATTTCAATGCTTTCCTTAACTTTTTTGCTCTTTTTTTTGCTTCTATTTCAGGTCCACTGATGGATTACTTGCCAGCCTGGCAGAAAATTTATTTCTACAACTGGGGTTGATCTGGTCCTTGCTTGTGTTATTGCAGCCAGAGACTGTTCAGGTTGAGAAGCAGCAGCTTGGGATATCAGGATGTCTTTATACTGAGGAAAGGGAGCCCTAAGACTTCAAGATAATATTCTATATATGTCTTTCTCTTGCTTATGCTAACTGATTTCTGAATGAAGAGGAAGGGCTCCTCCAACTTTATTTAAAAGTGAACTATGAACACTACAGAGACTGCAGCATAAATGTACCTTTGCTATTTCTCTTTTCCATTCTAATATATCTGGCCTCAAAGCTGGTGTTGGGAAGGACCCTTTTTTGTATACATTTTGTATGACTGTGAATGAATAAAGCCGGGAAACTGTCATGCTCTTAGGCTAACTGGTCTGGTGTTTTGAATGTTCCGTGAAGCACAGGAAGTAAGGCTTTCCGTTCCAATACATGCTGGGAGCTGGCGAGATGGGTTTTCCATGGTGACCATGAGTGCTCTTTTTTCAGAGATTAAATAGTTTGTAAGAAACTTTTATTTTGTCTTCATTATATCCTCCAAGGCAGAAACCTGTCACTTTAAACCAACCTCAAGACTCAAATTAGGCCATTCCTCTTTTTTGTACAAAGCAGTTACCAGACCTATTTTTTTCTTTGTACCTTTCTTAGCAGCTACCAGCCATATGTATGCATACAGTCCATTTGGCAGGGAACTGAGCACCCCTCAGCTAGTTCAGATGACAAGCCAAGACTGCTCTTAAATAGGCTTTCTCCTTGGCATAATTCCAGTGGTCCTTATGCTGCTCAACTGGAGTCTGATAAGCTGAAGGCTGTGGCTGCTGGTCTTTCTCTTGTGCCTAGTCTACTCTAATTTCCTGCAATTCTCTGGAGGATATTAAGTTCTGCCGTTCATAGACAGTCTTTGAAACAGCAAACGTGTGCTGCAGGGCTTTGTAGTGCTGACAGCGAGGGGCTGGTGTGCAACATGGTTGATCTTTACTAAAATAAGTTTTTTCTGTGTCAAACTTAAAGGACGGAACAGATGCTGAGGTAACTGCCTGCCCCGTTTCTTGTCATATATAATGGGGTGGCTGCCTTAAGTGAGTGATGGAAGAAGTAATCCAAGTGCCTAATCACCTCCAGTCAATTTTACTTGTACATCTCTTTCTTAGACTATCTTCCTAATCAGTTCCCAATGGTAATATCTGTAGTTTTGCTACTTCATCCTAAGGCCATACTTGCTGATATAGCAGAGGTGGAGTAATTTTAGAGGTTGGCTGTGTGTCAAGGTACCCTAATCACTAGACTGGTGCAAAATTTCAGATTAGATTGGAACTTTAATTTTGTTTGTTAAATTTTGGCATACGAAGGTGCCATGCAGGAAAGGGGGGGGGGTGGATTTAGAATTTGAATCACCCATTTTTTGCCCAGAAATGTTCTGAAACGTTCTAATGTCTCCCAAGAACAGTTTAATTTTCATTTAAGCAACTTTGGTAAACCTGCTTTTAAAATTTAAAATCACATTCCTTTTGTGGCCCCATCTTCACCGGCGCTACCATAACGGAGTTGCTGTGGGCGTGGCTAATTACAGCCATCTTAACTGTAGTTTCAGGCCCCCAATGGTAGATATTGCAAAAGGCCCTGCCTTAAACTACATTTCCCTGTATGCCTTGGGAGAAGAATGCGCCAATCATGAAAGAAGATAGAAAATAATCCCCTTAACAGTTAGTTTTTCTGAAAACTTTACAAAATTCCCTTAAATCAGTAAATGTTTTAGTATTTCTGAAAGTTGGGGGCAGGCCCATAGCCAGGGGGGGCTTGAGGAGCTTCAGCCCCCCCAAAATTCTCAGGGTGTCTGCGAGAAGGCCTTACTGGTACATTATTTAAACTGTTATGTTTATTAATATCATGATCTGATCACCATGCTCAATATATCCCATATGCATGAGGATATTGGGACAATGATACAAAAGGCTTGCTAGAGTAGATCCTGATCCCCACCCCGAATCAAACTGAGCCCCCCACCCTCGAATCAAAATCCTGGCTACGGGCTTGGTTGAGGGAAATTATCTCCTGTTATCTTCTGACGTTGCATAGAAAAATCAAGGTGATAGTTCTTGTAGTTGTTTTAAATGTTTTTAAAAACTTTAAAAATTCACCAAAAATCCACGGATAAGTCAAACGTCATGAAATTTGGTGGGCTAACAGTGGTAAATTTGTTCTACCACTGTATCAAGATTCACTGCAATAGCTTTAAAAATGGGGGAGATAGAAGCCTCTGAAGTTTCCCCACTGTCAGTAATGTTTTCCTTAATGTGCATGTATGACCACCATTAACGGAGTACTTACGAAGATTTGGAAGTTTCTTAAAGTTTTGATTTTTTTTTAGAAAGGATTTTAGAAATGAAGCACCAGCGCACCCTCATTTTGAACACAGTTTAGAATCATGTTTTTGGGGGGATCTTACATGCCTATCATTCTGAAATTGCACCAGTTTCAAAAGATAAAGAAAATGTTCAGCTTCTAGTAAATGTCCTTTAAAAATCAAAATATAGTAGGCTGGTAATATATTTTCTTCAATATAAAATGATAAACCCTACTGAGCGTAATATGGTGTAGTGACAAATGTTGGACTAGGACTCTGAAAGATTAAAGTCCTTTTTCAGCTATTTTGATCCATTGGGTTACCTTGGCAAATCATATTCGCACCCTTAGAGAAAAGACATTAGGAAACATCTGGTGTAATCTTGCCAAGAATACCCTATCATGGGATGATAACACCATTTGGGCCATTTTCTAGACTCATTCTCTTTCTCCTGATGTGCAATGTATGTTATTTATGTTGGTAGGAAGTACAAACCAAGCTGCATGTCAATGACTGTGCCATTCCAGTGGTACCTCTTCTTTATGATGAGACAGAAATCTCAGCCAATTCAACCTCTTCACCTGGAATCAATGTGATGCTGGCAAATGCTTCGGGTGTCTGCCTCCCATACAAGTCTCATTTGCTTTTATAGTGAGAGTCATTTTTAGACTGCAAATCCATACCCGGCCACATTTCACAGATATGTTCAAAATGGCAAATGTTTTTTAATGAAGAACAACACACAAACTAAAAGAGGCTGCAGCAGTTTGCTTTTCTGTGAGTATGCACCCTCCTTTCCTATCTTTTGCACTTTGATCTCAATTTGCAGCAGTTAAGGTATGTTGAGGACAAAGGGGGATGAGGAGGATATTTTAAAAAGCTGAAAAATTGGGGCGACAGGATTAATCAGGAGTGTTCCTACCAAATTTGGATCGTTGGAGGGCAAGAAATTCCCAAGATAATGAAATCTGGGCATGAAATCCAGAAAGGAGCTTTTCCAAGCTGTCTCATAGGCACATCAAAACTTCTTTAGTAGGTGACAACTTTGTCTGTATTCATAACAGTCTTTTGAAAATGGTTGAAATGAAGTCATGCACTCAGAAGAGCTGAAAACCCAGGAGATTACTGAATCCTGGATTGGCAACTACAATGAGTAGGACAGCGCTTGTTTATCTGAAATGGAGCCTAGCTACAGGGCTACAGAAATGGGAATGAATCCATCTGTCCAATAGGCTTTTTGCATGGTCCCTGCTCTTCATTCTTCTTAGACTGTGCCCTATTGGTTACGTCTGGTGCATGGAATTCAGCATTGTCTGTGTTCCTGAGCTTTGTGATGGCATTATAGCTTTTGAGAATTGCCTTATTTCCTGCTAGTGACAGCCATTGTTAGTGAGAGATTGACCAGGTTGGCTTTAGCGGCTAGATGAGGCTCTGGTTTTTGCTACTGCTTTTGACAGGGAGAGTATGGCTCATGCCAGATTATAAAAGGTAAAAGTTGCTAGCTGATTGTCATGCATTCTATACAATAAATCACTCTCTTTAAGAAACACATATCATAGGGCTTCCATATCCGATCTTGAAATTAGGACACCAAAATCTGAAATGTGCTGGTGATCCCATCTGGATGTCACAGGCTCTGTCTTAAGAGACATGCCTAATTATGCCATTAAGCATTGTTGTTGTTCATTCGTTCAGTTGTTTCCAACTCTTCGTGACCTCATGGACCAGCCAATGCCAGAACTCCCTGATGGCCATCACCACCCTCGGCTTCTTCAAGGTCAATCCAGTCACTTCAAGGATACCATCCACCCATCTTGTCCTTGGTCGGCCCCTCTTCCTTTTTCCTTCCATTTTCCCTGGCATCCTTGTCTTCTCTAAGCTTTCCTTTCTTCTCATGATGTGGCCAAAGTACTTCATCTTGGCCTCTACTATCCTTCCCTCCAATGAGAAGTTGGGCTTTATTTCCTGAAGTATGGACTGGTTGGATCTTCTCGAGGTCCAAGGCACTCTCAGAACTTTTCTCCAACACCACAATTCAAAAGCATCTATCTTCCTTCGCTCGGCCTTCCCTATGGTCCAGCTCTCACATCCGTAGGTGACTATGGGGAATACCATTGCTTTTACTATGCAGATCTTTGTTGCCAGTGTGATGTTTCTACTCTTCATTATTTTATCAAGATTGCACATTGCTCTCCTCCCAAGAAGTAAGCGTCTCCTGATTTCCTGGCTGCAGTCTGTGTCTGCAGTAATCTTTGCATCTAATGCATTAAGCATTACATATTAACATTAAGCATTACATATTAACAAATAACATTTACACACACACAATGTGCAGTATTCACATAAAAACATTAAATCTTACAATCATACACACAGCCCTGTTTGACCCTCTCATCTTTGAGAAAAGCCAAGCCAGGGATGCAGTTTTTCATGCTAAGCAAAGACTAGTGATCTCCCCCATCCTCACTTGGTTGGGATGAATCATGAAGAAGTAGGATTTAGTACTTCTTTTTGTCAACAATAGGTTTTCATGCATCATCAGATACAGGATGTACCAAAGACACTTGTAAAATATATACTTGATGAGTCATTCAGTGAGCCAGGATGTTTCAGGCCTGTATACTTCATTTTAAACATTGTTAGTGTTGCTTTTCTTTTTCCTTTCCTCCTCTGTTTACCATTTATATGAGGTTATGTACCTGCAGACAGAGACTCATGTTTTCATTTCTGTGCAGAGGAAGGAACTGGCAAAACCACCTCTTGAGTATTCCTTTCCATAGAATATCCTATGAAATTAATGGGATAACTATAAGCTAACAAGTGGCATACACACACATTACTTAAGAAGTGTTAAGTCAGTGGTTCTCAACCTGTTAGTGCTCAGGTGTTTTGTCCCAAACTTCCAGAAAACCCAGCGAGTTTACCAGCTGTTAGGATTTCTAGGAGTTGAAGGCCAAAATATCTGGGGACCCACAGGTTGAGAACTACTGCAATAGGTGCTTTTTAAAGGGGTTGTTAATGTTTGTGTAAAGAAAAACAGAATATGACTATTTAAAAATATTTTAAATCCATACAACACCTCGTATCTGTGGGATCAGCATCCATGGCTTCATTTATCTCAGAGGTATCACACTTGTGGACCTCCAGGTGTTTGGGTTATCTAAACAGATGTCCTTGATTTCATTAGGGTTTGCTATTATCTGAGATGTCCACACAAATTCTGGGACCGTATCCCTCATGGATAGAGAGATCCTACTGTACTTTTTAAAATTTAAAGTTACTTAATAAATAATTATTCATTGAAATCTGAAAGATTATCTATACTAAAGTAACATACCATTCTTACTTACACTAAAGTAACTAGCTGTAATATGAAAAAGGTGTGTGCTTTCAGATGAATATATTCAAACCGCTCACTTATTTGATAGTGGCACAGTGTGGTTGTGCACTTAGATGTACTGTCCAGTCAGATGCACACCTATTTCACATCTCCAGTTCCCACCAGGTCCAACTTGTTTCCATGCGCCCATCTCTTTAGTCAAAGTGACAATTTGTTTAGTTTGAATTTCTCAAAATGTGAAATATATCATTTCACAATATGGTTAAAATTTTGAGCTCTTATGATTAATATAAATATGTGGTGTTAAGATATGTTGTGCAGAAAGATTATAATGAGGTATATTAATTATGGTTTTATCAGTTAATGTTAGGGCATTTAATAAATTTGCTGATTAAGAGAATTACACAGCTTCAAATAATGTTTTTTTTACTTAGTAACGGCTCATGGCCTCTGTTTCCTGCCAAATGAAGATTCACCATCTGAAAACGGAACACATCATCCTGTTGGGAAGTTTGTCCAGTCTCAAATGTCTGTAGAAGAATTGGGCTTTTGGCACCAAACACAGAGGTCACTGATCTTGTGTTCTTCCACTGCAGGCTCAGTCAATCTGTTCCTGACGAGTTCACTGCACCCTTGGAGCTTCATCAGAAGCACTTTGGCTTAGTAGACGGTACAATCTCACTTGAGTTAACTTTGGGATAGTGTTTAGGCATTGATTGCAAAACTCCCTCCTGGGTTGTGCCACAAAAACCATTTAAAAATACCAGATGCATGAGAAGTTACATCATGGGTTTTCTCTACTAGGGCATGGGTGTGATCATGTAGTGAGTGAGCATACATGTGTGTATGAAGTATGAAGGAAAGCACAGGTGTGCAACCCCGCCCACTGCTTGTGTATGCAGATTCATGGTGTTGCAACCCTGAATACATTTGGTAAAAAACATTGCCCCACTTCTGTACTAGCAGCTGCACAATCAAAGCTTCAGTAATAAATTATTAATAAAGAATGACCTTTACTCTTGATTTAGCATCTGAAATTAAGCCAGTATAGAACTGAAATAAGCTGAAAGCTGGAAGAAAGAGAGATCTTATACAATAATTTTATGACACAAAGCTGCAAAAGCGCAATCACAGGAGGATAAAAAGAGCCTGTTGAAGGGACTTACCACCCAAAGTGGTTATCCTGCAGTTATATTCTACCCTATCTCCCCTGGGGAGACTCTTGCCTTTGGTGCACTCATGCACTGTGTTAACAGCAACACTGCCTGTCAGCAAGAAGATCAAAACAATTGTGAAACACACCCATGAGCAAGCATATGCTGTAATGCAGTGGTTCTCAACCTGGGGTCCCCAGATGTTTTTGGCCTTCAACTCCCAGAAATCCTAACAGCTGGTACACTGGCTGGGATTTCTGGGAGTTGTAGGCCAAAAACATCTGGGGACCCCAGGTTGAGAACCACTGCTGTAATGCCTTTCAGTGATGAAGGGCCATAGGGCTTACCCTCAGTTCTCTTTTCAGTTCAAATACATGTTAAGGAAGCCAGCCCTCGGAGTTACCTACTCAGGCATCTCAAAATGCCCATAAATAACCCTTGAAGGATGTTTCTATATTAGTTTCTCTGATGGATAGATGTTATCTATAGTTGTGTCATCCAGTCTTAGCATCGCTGTAAACCAAATCTTGTTTTCACAGATTATGGCATTAAACCACAGCATCTCAAGTTCGGGAGGAAATGGAAACTACGCAGGGAATCAGAAAAACTGAAGAAAGCACATAAGACCAAGCGAGATGAGCCAAATTTTGAAGAGTATTATGATGATGATCTCTTTTAACCTCCCTGTGGATTATGACAGTACAGCACACCTTGGTTGACTTTCCAACAGCTGATTTATAGCCTATACAAAAAAAGGCAATGCCTAATAATCTCAATTCCTACTGCTGTCATTTCATATGATTCAAATTCCTTTGCCCTTTTGCTCATGAATCTCTTATGTGTTCTCATGTTATATTTAAAATGCCAAATTATATGTAGATGTATTCATTATTTGCAATGTTTTTATAGCATTAGCATGTGTACATTTCTAATGAAATACTGACTCAATTATTTGAGTTTTCTTAGTGTGGCATAAATAGCATTTTAATGGAGCTCCAGAGTTCTGTTTTCTTTCTTTTACCCAGTCTCCAGCAGAAATACAGACAAAATGCTTTGAAGGCCATTTAGAGTGGCTTCACTGCTGTCAACAACAATTCTGCCAGAGCGCTTTCTGTGTTGGCAGGAGGAGAGGCCAGTAGATTAGCAACGGACTTTGCAGCAAAGCGGTTTGAGAATCCTGGGATTTTGGCGTCTCAAAACCTTTTAACAGAGTGTGGTAATGTGACACATTTTTGGCGTAATTTGCAGTGGCTGCAGAATGCCAAAACTTGGTAGTCAGCTCTATCAGGAACTCTCAGACATGGTCAGAAAGAACAAATACCCCTCTTCTCCACTTCCTTCTGAACCTACATTCAAATTGGCAAATTGTAATCACTCTTACCACCAAATATCTGATAGGAGAGCAATAAAAGAGAAGTCAATTTGTCTTCCTCAACCTTTTCTCCTCCTATCCCACAATATGCTGGTTGAGATGATGGAAGTTGCAGTCTACCATCAAAGGGAGGCATATTGGGGAGCCCCCGGTGGTGCAGTGGGTTAAAGCACTGAGCTGCTGAGCTTGTTGATCGAAAGGTCGCAGGTTCGATTCTGGTGAGCGGCGTGAGCTTCCGCTGTCAGCCCTAGCTTCTGCAAACCTAGCAGTTCGAAAACATGCAAATGTGAGTAGATCAATAGGTACCGCTCCGGCGGGAAGGTAACGGCGCTCCATGCAGTCATGCTGGCCACATGACCTTGGAGGTGTCTACGGACAACGCTGGCTCTTCGGCTTAGAAATGAAGATGAGCACCACACCCCAGAGTCAGACATGACTGGACTTAATGTCAGGGGACTACCTTTACCTTTTACCTTTAGAATGGGGTGTGTAGTACATACAGCAATATCTTGTTAGTGACACATATATATGCGTAAGTGCAGTTTACATTAATGTATTTTTGTGGGGTTTTTTTTGTTTTTGTTTTTTTTTGAGAGGGCACGGAGGAGTTATTCTCTACTCTTTTGCACTTTCTCCAAACTTTCCCATAACAGTTAACAAGCACCGGGAGGAACTGCCATTGTTGCAGTTGCTGTTGTGGAGGTGAAAAGGGCAATTTAGATTTTGATATGGCTGCTCTGGGCTCCCAGGGAAGGAGAGAACACACACTATCAGTGAGCAAGCCCCATTTCTTTCCCATACTCAGCTGAGACCAGCTGCTGATTGGTCATCTGAATTACCTCCGGCCTACTGCCATGCCAGAAAGCATCAGCTGGGGTTTGACAGCTGACGGAATCAAGGAAGGACATGTGAGTGGGATGTAATGCTTCACCTGCTTAGTTTCGCACTTCAGAGTCTCACCTCAAACAATTCTAGGAAAGACAAGCCTACATGTGTCAGGACTGTCATTACAGACCATTAGACTGAATAAGACCCTTTCACGCTTTTAGAATACAATGAAACATTTGCCCATGTGTAATGGTGAAAACCAAGGCCATTCAGCAGTTTCCTGATGTTGATGTACTACAGTTAGTTCTCAAAATAGATACTCACAAAAAGGCTCAAAGGCAGTGCATTTGCTTAGAGGTCCCACCCCTTTGGAGAGGAAAACAGAAGCAACATATTGTCTTTGAAACATCAACATTTAATCATTGTTTTTCATCAGAGCAGATCCAGCAGAAGCACAGAACTCCCCTCTGCAAGGAGCGGGTGGACGAGGGAGGAGGGCAAAGGCACACCTTTCTGCAGCTCTTGTTATTAGCCCCCTTGTCACTTACGCTTCGCTTCTCAGTGGGACCCAGCCAATCCTGATTCAGTTTTGTGCTTATGACTGGAGCTCCCCGCAGACCCCCTTATACAGATGAATCAGACACACAAACGCTGGATCTCAAGTCTTTTCTTGCAGGATCCAGATTCCCCCCTTGAGCTCTGACCCTGCAGTTGGAAAGAGCGATGAGGAAAAGGGGACGACAGAGCATGGGACTGGAACAGTACGTGACAATAGGGCACAGGCCCTTCCCAGCTGCCTCTGTGCTTGAAATCCTCCTGTCTTTCAAAGGAAAGAAAGAAAGAGACAGGCACCAGAAGTTCTCTAGTGGGTTTTTTTTTTTGCAGGCACAGAATAATATCCATGGACACCAGAGGATACCCATCTTTTAGGACTTGTGGGCACAAAATTCACCATAACTTGATTCTTTGTCATCTCTCCTCTTCTTTCCTACTCGGAACTCCATTGCCTCCCAATCAGGGGTTCACTTCCTCACTTGTGTTATCTTCCCAAGCTTACTATTGAATCTTCCATGGCAGTTGTTTTCAGCACGCCAGTCCAAACAAACTACCATATCATGGGTTAACCAGAGCAGTTGGGACTATAGCAGTTCTTAGCATAGAACAGATATCCAAGAACCTGTGAAAATCTCTCAATCTCTCTCTCGCTCTCTTTCAGTCTTTCTCACTCTCTCTATATATATCTAGTGCTTTAACCTCCCCAATCATATGCATAGTAAGTGACAGGCCCAGCCCTATTCTGGATCCAGTGCCCACGCCTCCTCCTCTCCTAAACCTGTGCGGTGGCAGCAGCAGCACCTGTTTCCGCCAGGGGTGCTTCTCTCTGAATAAACCAAAAGAGGATATATATATATATGTATGTATATTAAAAATAATAAACCCCCTTTTGTCTACCCATCCCACCCATCCCCAACTCTCTTGAGCCCAAAGCGCCCCAAAGGAAAGAAGGCAGGGCTCTGAGCACTGAGGGAAATGGCACCCATGCCTACTCCTCCTCCGTCTTGAAGCGGCTTGTCCATGCACAATGGGGGAATGACTCTTGTCTGTACAGGAAAGAGGGGGCTAGGCCTGCCCCCTACTCTAAATAGATGTCCTCTGTGGGGCATGTGTATTCCACACATTCCTTGTAGAACTGATGGAAGGCCCTCCTACAAACAAACAAAGGGGAAGAGAGAGGGGCATATCACACAAGAGCTGGAACAGTGCCGCAACCCCTTAATACAGTTCCTCATGTTCTGGTGACCACCATCCATAAAATTATTTTTGTTGCTACTTCGTAACTGTCATTTTGCTACTGTTGTGAATCGTAATGTAAGTATCTGATATGCAGATTCATTTTCATTCACTGGACCAAATTTGGCACAAATACCTCATATGCCTAAATTGAGATCTACCGAACCCAGCGAGAGGGAGAAGAGGAGGAAAAACGAAGGAGGAAAGAAAGCAAGGAGGGAGGGAGGGAAGGCGAGGAGCAGGAGGGCCGTGCAGGCAAAAGTGTCCCTCTTATCAGGGGAGGGTGGCATGGGTACCCGAGGGAGGGAGGGAAAAGAGGAGAGGAAAGAAAAGGCAAAGTGTCAGGGCAGGGGGAGAGATGAGGAGGGCTGCACAGGGAAAACCGTGAAACAGTGAGTTCACGGTAAGCAAACTGCAAAGGAGTGAGGGAACACTATATCTACAGTAGAGTCTCGCTTATCCAGCCTTCACTCATCCAATGTTCTTTATTATCCAACGCAGTTTGCCTCCCACCCAGATCCACAGCTGTCTCAATACATTGCGATGTTTTGGTGCTAATTTGTAAATACAGTAATTACTACATAATGTTACCATGTATTGAACTGCTTTGTCTATCGATTTGTTGTAAAACATGACGTTTTGGTGGAATTTGTAACATCATAATGTAATTTGACATTTAATAGGCTTTTCCTTAATCCCTCCTTATTATCCAACATTTTTGCTTATCAGATGTTCTGCCTGCCCGTTTATGTTGGATAAGTGAGGCTCTACTGTATATTTATCTCTATTTATCTATCTATCTATCTATCTATCTATCTATCTATCTATCTATCTATCTATCTAGGCCAGAATCTGTTTAGTTACTAATGCTGGAACAACAGTGGATTATGCCAATATAAGCAAACTGAAAGAAGTTGTTGCAAGAAAGTATCTTGTCTCATGTATGTGTGTGTGTGTGGAGATAGATAGATAGATAGATAGATAGATAGATAGATAGATAGATAGATGCCAGAATCTGTTTAGTTACTGATGCTGGAACAACAGTGGGTTATACCAATATAATCAAATGAAAAGAAGTTGTTGCAAGAAGGTATCTTGTCTCTCCTTGCACAGTAGGTTTCCCACAGCCACAAAAGAGCAGCTGGAAGGCCTGGTTGTGACTCCCTTCCTCAACCAGATTGATTGCAAGTGCCGCTTTTTGGCTTGTAATGCTCAGCCAGGAGCAACCTTTGCCCTCCTGGATTTCCAGTCAGAGGGCAAAAATAGTTTCTTCTCCCCTAGCTGTTTTTTTTTTTTAATGTTAAGCTGAATGGTGCCTGGTAAGAGCTGCAACACTGACTCAATCATTGGCTGGGAGCCACCTGGCTTATTCTGCAAAGCTGGAGAAAGGAGGCGGCTTTGTCCTCCTGTCCTCTGAATTCCACCAGTGCTCTAATAGCATCTTAGCCATAATGTACCAGACATGTTGTGAATGTGTAGCAGCTCACCCAAGTGATCTGTGTAATATATGGTAGGAGCAAATTATGCAAGCATGTGGCGACTCCTATTAAGAGCAAGCTGTATTTGAAAGGTGCACTTTTCTCAGAAGTAAATGCTGTGGCCTCATGCAGGTATCTTTTCTGTGTTTTATATTGCTTCTGTAGACAGACTAGCATTAAATGTACTAGTGTGGGCTGAATCACAATATGAATCTGCCTCTCAGAAAAATTCCAGTCCCAGGCAGAAAACTCTTACTGCCACAAGGTATTGCTTCGATGCCATACAAGGAAGAGTCAGCAAAGAACTCAGGCACTAATCTGCTTTTCTATCTCATTCTGCACCACTTTTCAAACCTGCTTTGGGAAGTCATTATTGGAAAGTCATTAGTAGAGAGAATATAGAATGCCTACGCCAAAAGTTTCATCTTCCTGGCACCGTTTTCCAGGATGTGCTGATTCCTTCTCTGTCAAGCCAAGACAAATGCTAAGTCTTGACCAGAAGGAGCTGAGTAAGCCTCACACC